AGTCCCAGCTACTTGGGAGGCTGAGGCAGGAGGATTGCTTCAGCCTAGGAGTTTGAGGTTGCTGTGAGCTAGGCTGATGCCAGGGCACTCACTCTAGCATGGGCAACAAAGTGAGACTCTGTCTCAAAAAAAAAAAAAAAAAAAATTAAAGTAAGGAGTTTTTTTTTTTTTCATTATAAGAAAAGAACATCCCCATGTTCTTCAGATCAGGATCAAAATTCTTATTCAAAATTTCTAAATTAGGAAATAAAATATATAGAGGTATTAAGCTAAAATAATTCAAAAGCCCTTGGTTTAAAATGCAGTCTTCATTAATATGAAACTAGGTGACCTTAAAAACTCAAATCCCAGCCTCAGTTTTCTGACCATTAAAATAGGGTTACTACTGCTGTCCTTCTTATCCCACAGTGATGTTGTGATGAGTAGACAGGGGTATCCAAAAGAGCTGTTTAAACAATGAAGCAACCTTCAGCTCAGTATAACAACAAATAAAAAACAGATTAAAAGTCAAATGATGTAATGGTTTACAATTTTTAAAATTGTATGTGCAGTGAAAACTTTAAGTGAATGCTTAAATAGAGGACTATTTAACAAAATAAAGATTCTATAGCTTGGGTTTGGCTGAGAGGACACAGAGTGATGGTAAGAAGAGTGTTGGAGCCTACCTTCACACTCTCCTCCTCTCCCTGTTATCCCCCTAGATATCTCCTAGAACACCACAACAAGTCTGTGTGCAACAAGTCTTGGAGTCAAAGAGATTGGGGTTAAAAAAAAAAAAATCCCGGTTTTATCACTAATTAGCTTTCTGAGCCTCACCTTCTTCAACTATGAAATGAAGCTGATATCACCTACTTTTCAAGGACTAGAGATAATGAACAATATATTAGAGAACCTAGAAGAATGCCCTGTATGTAATACATGACCACTATATAAAAGTTCTGCATACACAACTCTGTAGCGTCTATGCATGAAATAGAGCAATAAAACTCAACTATTTTCAAAGCAACTAAATTTAATAACTTCAGCCTAAAATCTGAGAACTTGCAATAGCCTCCTAAATAGGACTTAAGTCATTCCCTCTGCTATTCATTTTCCACAAATCTGCGCTAAACCTATCATTCCTGTCTCTTTTCTACCACTCTATATTTTAACCATATCCAATTATTAACTAATCTTTGAATAGGGTATGTACTTTAAAAAAAAAACTTATTTTTTTCAGAAACAAATGTGTTTGTGAAAAATTAGAAATTAGAAAATGTAGATTAAAATAAAACACACACACACACAAATCACATTCTCATCATCCAGGTATCATCACTATTAACACCTTAAAGCATATCCTTCTGGAGAGATATAGATGTAGATACAGATATATACAGATAAATAATCATAATACACATACTTCTTTATAACTTGCTTTATAACCTGCTCAACAACCTCTGCCTTCCCATTTCAGCAAATTTCTATCTCCTCTAATTATAGGCCATATTCAAATTTCCCCAAATAACCTAAAATGTCTTTCACAACTAATCTACCCAAATCAATATCCAATTAAAAATCTCACATTGCAGCTAGTTGTCCCTTACATTTCTTTTAATGTAGCACTGTCACCTTCCCCCATCATCTTTTTAGGATGCCAACAAGCTAAAGAAATCTCACTACTTTTCCTACAGAATGTCCAACCTATGATTTTGCCTGGTTTCTTCTTCTCTTATTCTTCTATTGCCTGTCTTGTCAGATACAGAGAAAGGTCCAAGTCTATGATCCCTCATTTTTAAAAAGGTGGGTATTATTGATATTAAACAATTAAAAATCTGCATAAGGAATGAACATACTCCCAGGCTTCTACCTTTATTCCCAGCAAAAAAAAAAAAAATATCAGAGCTTTCTTCTCTATAGAAACTACAACCAACTTAGAAGGAAAAAACCCTTCACTTAGTAGATACTGAGGACCCACCTACTTCTATCCATCACTGTAAAATGAACTTCCCCACCAGTTAGTTGACAAGCCCAGACCACGTATGAAGAGTCCTGAATCAACGTTTTAGTTTCTTATTCTTAAATATTAATGAACAAAGAATCATTATAAATTTGAAGAAATATTCAAAAAGAAAGAGAAACCAAAATAAACATAAAAAACAAAGTAACCGTGTATAAAGAGAGAATGCAGGGAACCACAGAATTCTTAATAATAACAAAACAGAACAAACTCTCTACTTAATAATTAATTGATATGATTAGGAAATAACAGACAATAAAGAGTTCTTAGAAATTCCAAATATGATTGCCAAAATAAACAGTTAAATAAAAATAGAGAGCTGCAATGTAAAGTTGAGAAAATATACTAGAAAACATAACCAAGCCAAAAGAAAAGGAAAATACAAAATAAAAATACTGAAAGATTCAATTCTGAAGTTCTAGATTCTGGTTACTAAAAATTCCAGAAAAATAACAGAGAAAATGGGGGAAAGAGAATAGTCACAGAAATAATGTAATAAAATTTCATGCTGCATTAATCTCCAAAGAGGTACTAACTACCAAAACGTCAAGTGGAAAACAACCAACCAACTACAACAAAATTCAAATCTGAGGACATCACTATGAAACTGGAGAATGCCAGAAATAAAAGATTAAAACCTCCCAGTGAGACAAAAACAGGCAAAATACAATGTAAAATGGATCAGAATGTATAGCAAGCTTCCTAATGGCTAAACAAGTTCCTAGAAAAGAAATGCCTGCAAATTTCTGAGGGAAAACTCTCTTCCATCACAGCCAAACTATTCCACACCAGCCAAACTATTAACATCAATAAAATGTGACAGTAGAATAAAGAGATTTTCAGTAATACAGTAATTAAAAAAGTTTGCCATCCAGTCATCTTCTCTTAGTAAGTAAATTAAGGATATATACAGTAAATTAAGGATATACAACAACAAAATGAGAGAGTAAACAAGAGAAAATGAATATATGCTATCCAGGAAATAGCAGATCCATTCCCAGATTGTGGTAAAAGAAAGTCCCTGCATAACAGCTCAAGAGAAGCTTTGGGCAGTAACCTGCTCTGATTCTAACAGGTTGACTCAGGTGGGGAGAGGGCCAAAAATACTATTTTTTTCATTAAGTCTCTTATGAATTTTTTAAAAACCATATATTGAATTTTTTAATTTAGTAAAATTAAAAAGGAAAAAAGTTAAAAGAGGCAGTTATATGAAATCTTAGACTCCTTCAGCTTTTAACTTCTATTAGCATTTGGGAAACTTTAAAGATGAACTAAAAGGATTCTACAATTTTCTTCTCATAATTTTGCTTTCACTACATAAATAAAAAGTAAAGCCAATTTGAGCAGTGTGTATTACCTAAAATTCCAAAGGCCATAGTGACAGAAAAGAACCCTTAAGAGATTTACTTTACTTAAAGTACCTCAAAAAACAGTATTTTTATTTTTATGGGACTAATCATTGGTTACCAATTCACTATTCTCACCTGAAGTATACTCCTTCTCTCATTATTAGAGGTGGCCCAGGCTTCTTAGCTGATATTTAAACATGCTTCATGATTCAGGGCAATACACCCAGACACAAAAGAAGGTATACGATACAGCTAGTACAATGACGGGGCTCACAGTAGATATTTAACGTATTTTAGCTATTTCCCACCCTTTCCTACCTCCTCTTTCCTTTGACGTTGAAGCTCTTAATCAGAAAACCTTCTCCCAAGACCAGCCAGCAGAGAAACTCTATACATCAAAACCTATCTCCTAGTTATAGTTAGACTAACTAAGCTGTAAGCTTTATGACTGCACACTTCAATTATGGAATCTCTTTCTACCTCAGGAGTAGTTTAACATTCCCAGATCCAAAAAGTATTCTTGACTCTCTTGCTCCTAGCCTTAGCACAGAAAAGTTTCTTTTCAAAAAGCAGTCAAACATCCACTAGGATCGAGAGCATTAGTCCAGAAAATCCATAACCCAGTGATATAAAATGATTTCCATGGCTTTAACAGAATATTTACACTAACCATCAGTACTAACACAGGAGCTAAACTTCACTTCAACTAATCTTTCCTGGGCATACACAATGAGTTTGGTTTTGATGGCAACCAGGAATTCTAAAATTTGGTCTCCTGTTCACACGAAGCTAAAATATACAACCCTGAGGAAGGTGTTGAGAAAGGAAATTGAGCAACAGAGAAGTCAAACTGTTCTTTCTCAACCATAGTTTTAAGCTAAATTTGGCTACTGTACAAAATACAAATATAGATTTAAAACCAATCAAAAGGTTTAAATCCACGATTTAAAATTGGTATTTTATTCCTTGGTTTTCTGCCATGCACCTGACCTTTTCTGTAAGAGCTAATTAAATGCTTAAGTACTATTGAATCAGAAGCCAGTTCTAACATCAGTTCATCCTATGACTTTGGACAAGTGACATCCCTGCTACGAGTCCAGATTTTCTCAAATATATAAAATATACAATATAAAAGTAATATAAAAATATAAAATATTATATAAAATATAAAAAGGACTGGAAAAAATTAAACTTGAAGATCCCAAACAAAAATTAAATTATATGACTATCACTATGTAGGAAAAACTGTTGGTTCTTATTTCCCACTTAGCTGAAATTATAGCAGCAGCCACTGAATACTGAATGCTTACTATGTTTCAGGTATTAGGTTACTTCAATATACAACTACTGTTTCTAATTCTCTTGACAACCTTACAATGTAGATAATATGAAAATAAGGAAACAAAAGCAGAGAGACTGGCTTACCAAATATCACACAGTTCATACATGCCAGGGACTGTGTATTGAGACCACAGTGCAAAATCCCATGGGGTTTTTCTCCCCCCAACAAGTTGTATTATTTACAAGCATTATCTCTACAGAAATCTAAATAGACATGAGAAATCCAAGTCACTTCATTTTTTTAAAAAAGTAAAGTCAATCCATTTTGCAATTCAAAGTATCAGAGCTGAAAATGTTCACTATGTACTAACCTGATGCAGGAGACGTTTCAGTTTGAGTAACTGAGTTTTTACAGCAGTGCAGTCTTGGACCATGTGCCGCAGGGTCATCTCATCCAGTATCACTGTATTCTCCGGTACATCTACAAACATCTTCTGAGCCTGGAAAAAGGGGGTTCCTCCATAGCTTTCAAAATGACCCAAAGGAGATTCTCTATAGGGAGAGCCTCTGAAACGGCAGGGGAAGAAGACAGAAGGAAAAGATATACAATACAACTTCAGAAAAAAGTAAAGGTAATGAAATTATTGCACTGAACATTACAAATCATTTACCATCTTCACAAAGTCTTTCACTTGTACTCACCTTAGTCACTAGTCACTAAACGTGTTTCTACCAAAGGGTGAAATCAGCTGTACTTGTCATTAAAAGAATTATCTTCTGTATCTCCCCAATACACACCCACTTCACCTTTGTGTGTTTACATATCAGTTGAATAAACCTTCTTCCTTAGGAACCAGAATAGAAAAAAATATTCTGGAAAGACCGTACCTGGAAAAACATATTGCTTATTCTTCCTCTTCTACACTGATTGCTTACTCTTTAGTTTTTGACTTTGCTTGGCCTCTTAAGCTGCACACCTATTTTAGCCCCATAACTATGCTACCTAAATTAGTTCCCGGCTTGTACACATTCTTGGACTCCCATGTCTTCAAATTCCCAGCAGGCAGTTAAGACAGATGAACTATTATTTCTTCTTTCTTTTGTTCTTACAATGTGGATAAATCATGTTTTCCAATAAAGATTAAATAAGCTTTTATAAAAGTCTTATATACACCACATATTTCCTAATCTTATATACTGCATTAAACATATCTACTCTAAAAAATTTACACTACCCTTCAGTTTCAAACAGTAATATACATGCCAAGTAAGAGGAAAAAATTAGAGATAATGTGTGTCGTGGGAGTGAAAAACAATGTTTTAACCAGAAGTCATAGCTACAGCAATTTAAAATTACTGCATTCACATTACACATAATTCCAGCTAGTTCTTAAATTATGACAAAAACTTATTGTATATGTGAAATCCCAATATCTAAATAAGATTATCTTCAATATAATGGCTCTTTTAACATACCAAGATTAAATTCATCATTCATTAAATTTGCAAAAGTAACAATGCATTAAATTTCAACCACATTAAAAATGTAAAAATATCATTTCTACTAAATTTTCTAGTTTTCAACAAATATTCCTAAATCTCTGACTTCTCAAATATTCAACATAAGGTTGGTTTTCACAAGATTATGTTACTTGGAAACTACTACTCAGCAGTATTTCAGGCCTTTCTTTTAACCCAAGAAAAAGATATTTTAAGAATTTTTAAATTGTTGATCCATAAGTAAGACCCTAATTTGGTACCATATAATTCTGCTTTATTTTATTGGTTCAAAATATTGTTGAATGATTAAATTTCAAATACTGATCAATTAATTATTATGAAGTTACCCTAACTATGATTCAATAAATGGACAATCTATACTTGGAGTATTGAAAAATGTATAGTAATAAATAGTTAACAAAAGAGTTAAGAAACAAAGATAGAAAATCACCTGGAAAATGAATAGTAGAGATGAAAAGAACTACATTTTCAGAGGAAAGCATTGACATTCTTTGGGAAATTTTCCTGGGTTAAGAAATAACTCGGGATGAACTATAAAGTATGAAGTGCAAGTCTGACTGAAATGAAAAGCTAAGGTTTTCTAAAAGAAGAGAAGAAGAAAGAGAAAGAAGAAAAGAAGAAGAAGAAGAAGAAGAGAAGAGAAAAAAAGAAAGAAAGAAGAAGAAGAAAGAAAGAAGAAGAAGAAAGAAAGAAAGAAAGAAGAAAGAAAGAAAAGTAATGGCACAAAGTGCAAGGCATGTTTTCTAGGGTCAAGGAGACTTTTTTTACAGCTTATGATGCCACAGATAGCTTGAATCCTATTTATTCTTCAACTTCTCCCAACACACCTGCCTCCCTCAAAGAGACTTCTTACTCCACAGCTAATTACCTGAAATTCCCAAAACTTGCTACAATATCCCTCATCTCCAAATCCATGTCCTCAACCTCTGTGCAGTCGTTGCCAGTCTTCCCATCCTGGTCTCCACTGTGCAATTGATCTGAATAACTCCTCTTTATCTTAAATTAGTTGGCAATTCTTCAGGGAAAGCTTCCTTAATCCCGTAAGGCAGGACTTGGTACTTTCATAAGTGTGCTTATAGAGCCCTGTACTGTGTCCCATTATCGTACTTATCACAGAATACTGTGTTTGTTTGCAATCCATGCCAAATTATAAACTCCGTTAAGGATGGACTGTGTGTTCTTTTCCTTTATATCTGAGTTTTGATATTTTTTATTTGATTTGATTTTTTCTGGTTTTACACTGAAGAGGTGAAAAGCATGCATTTTAACCACTAGGTTCGTTTTTCTTTTATTTTAAGCTTACATCTCTGAGATTCTAAAATTCTGTAGTTGTGACATGATAAAAGCACTGCTTTAGAATTATAATCTAGAGGTAATCACATTATAAACTATCCCAGTTAATAATCAAATTAAAATTTACTTCTTATTTAGCTAAGAGAGGAAAAGAAATATTCAAGGAATAAAATAACTGAAAGAGACTGGTCTGTGGTCTACCGCATGAGAATCAGGTAGATGTGGAATACACCCATACCTTTTACCTATATTTACTATTGAAATAATGACACATTTGCCTGCTTTGTATCTATGTATTTGTTGCTAAACCATCTGCAGTAAGTTCAAAATAACATAAAATGTCACTAGATGAACATTTGAAGTTTGCAGGGAAAAAAATGAATATAACTGAGAAGTCTAAGAAGCAGAAAGACAAAGATGGAACAGAAAGCAAATATATAACAGAGGTTATTTCCAAAAAATGAAAGGAAACTATGAAGATAAGGGGGGACATAGGACAAAAAGATAATAAAGATTTTGAGATTTCAGATTCTGAGAAGATGATGCAGTTTATAAATGAGAACATGAATTTCAGAAACAGAACAAGAAGTAAATCACTTTCTAAGACGGAAGGCACAAATCCAGACGTAAATGTGAAACGAGGGTAAAAAAATAAACATGAAACAAAGGAGAATTACTATTCATAATACCCTGTATTAAGCTGACAGTTATAAATACATACTGGTATACAAATTTTAACAATCATGGATTTCAAGCAAAAATATCCGGCAATGAAAACAACAGAAAAGCCTGAGCTGCAGAATGAATATACTAGAATGCTAGCAGTGTGTTAGCAAAGGGAGAACCTATGTGGTTACTCACAGTCCAAGGAGGCTGGTGGACATGAAGAACTGAACTAGGGGTGAAGGCAAAAATGAGTTCAGTGGTCACAGAAGCATAAGAAAGAAATGCCTACTATCACCAATATTATTTAATGTTGTGCTGTAAGTACTGCCAATAAAATCAACGAGAAAAAAGTTGAATGCAAACTAAAGAAAGGAATCTTGAAGAGAAAACCTAATTTTTACACATATACTGACAAATAACTTTATTCTTCCTTATTTCCAACAGAACTTCTTGATTACTAACATGTGTGATTTGTGCTAATCTTAAAGTTCGTGACTCATAGGTTAGGCTAGTGAGTGCAGATGTTTGTGTCTGTGTGCCTGTGTGTATGTACAGGAAAGAAAGGGAGAGATTTTTCCTCTTCATTTCTTACCTAATATGAGTCACAATTCTGACTTCATAAAATCTTTCTTTTCTTACCATTAATAAAAACTTTATATTAAAAATTAAATGCATGTATTTTTATGTTTGTGGTTTTTTATATACATAAGAGAGACAGAGAGAGTGAGAGTGTGTGTGTGTGTGTGTATTTTTGAGACAGAGTTTCATTCTGTTGCCTGTGCAGTGGCATCATCATAGCTCACTGCAGACTCCAACTCCTGAGTTCAAGCAACAAGCAATCATTCTGCCTCACCCTCCTGGGTAGATGGAACTTACAAGTACATGCCACCACATCTGGCTAATTTTTTTTTTTTTTGGTAGAGATGGAGTCTCACACTCACCCAGGCTGGTCTTGAACTCCTAGCCTCAAGTGATTCTCTGCCTCAGCCTCACAAAGTGCTAAGATTACAGACATAAGTTACTGTGCCCGGTGTATAGTTATATTTTTAAAATGCTAGATTCGACACATTCCAATTAAAATTCCAGCAAATTATTTCGTAAATATTACAAAAGTGATTCTAAAGTTTCTATAAGAATAGGCAAAAGACCCAGAATAGCCGACACAATACTGAAGAGGAAATTCAAAGGACTAACACTACTTAACTTTGAGACTTACTATATAAAGCTACTACACAGTAATCAAGATAACATGGTATTGGTGAAAGAACAAAGAGATCAATTGAAGATAACAGAGCTCAAAAATAGATTCACATAAATATGGTCAACTGATCTTTGACAAAGGAGCAAAGGCAGTTCAAAGGATGGTCTCTGATAGAGAAATGATAGTCTTTTCAACAAATGAGACTGGAACAACTGGACAGCCACATGTGAAAACAGAAGACCTTAAATCTTTCACACAAATTAACTCAAAATGGATCAAAGGCCTAAATGTAAAATCCAAACCTTATACAACTCCTACAAAATAAAAAAGGAGAAAATCTATGTGACCTTGGATTTGGCAATGTTTTTAGATACAACATAAAAAGTGCAATCCAGGAAAGAAAAAATGAATATTGGAATACATAAAATTTTTAAGTCTGCTCTGTGAAAAACACCTTTAAGAGAATAAGACAAGCCACAGAATGGGAGAAAATATTTGCAAAACATATATCTGTTAAAGGACTGGTATCTAACATATACAATGTACTCTTAAAACTCAACAGTAAGAGGTCAAATAGTCCAATTTAAAAATAGACAAAGATCTAAACAGACACCTTACCAAAGAAGATATAGAGATAGCAAATAAGCGTGTGAAAAAATGTTCAACATCATACCATTTGGGAATTGTAAATTATAATGACAACAAAATACCACTACAAACCTAATGATTAATATCGAAAGCCCAGTACCAAAACCTCTTATTCATAGCTGATGGAAATGCAAAATGGTACAGCCACTTTGGAAGACAGTTTGGCAGTTTCTTACCAAATTAAACATATGCTTCTCATGTGGTCCAGCAATAGCACTCCTTGATATTTACAGAAGTG